ATGAATTTTCAAAAATGACCTATGAAGACAATAACCTGAATATATTATGTGATATATCCAAATGAACAATAATAACAACTTACCTTATTATTTGCTTACCAGTACCTTTGGAGGCTCATAGGGATTCTCCCTATGTATGGACCCAATATCCAAGTTATTAATTAACCGGTCGTCCCCATACCCCGTCCGATAATAAGCGCCAACTATGCCACCGCCTCAATACTCCGTCTGATATAAAGGTGAACTGTACCCTCAACCCCTTCTGATATGGAATTTCTCAGCCTCGTACGACTTAGGTAATGTCCACGGTAGGGTTTTCTTATATACTAGGTCCGTTCACCATTTCCTAGGGTACCCAATAAGCATTTCTTTCATAGATTCATGTCATCAAACCATCATCAATCACATACTAATATCTCATTTTATATTTATAAATCAATAGAATAACATTTAAGCAGACAATACGAATTTATACCTTAACTATTAAGAAAGGTAATTACGGTATTTATTTCAAATCAGTCAACAGATTAAAATAAACGGTTAAGCAACTAATAAATGAGAAAACAATTAAACCAATAAATCAAAGTGCTTGTGGCAAGTAAACCAAACAGTCTAACAATAAATGAGCAGTGCAGATAAATAAGCAATTACATACTGACCAGTTCCGCCTTCACTGGTGACATGTAATTAATTTTAGAATTTTTCTAATTTTCACAAAGTATAATATTATTGATTATTAAATTTCAATTTACCATAACCAAAAAAATGATGATGTATTTTTACCCCGAATCAGTATTTGAAATACTATACTTTTTATTGCGCCTCATTGCGCTTTTCAGATTTCCTGAATTTTTCATGCAAAAATTAAAAATACTCGTCACATATCAAAAAAACCTTAAAAGGCCCAAATAGCCGTTTTAAAAACTTTTTCGGCCAATTTAGGGTTATGGAACGACGTCGGCACTATGTTCCGATGCCGACTCTGCTGCCCAAGGCAACAGTCCCTCTCGGTCTAGTTATTTTCGGCCGATTTTGCATGAAAACTTGTAAAAAATGAAGTTAGGGGGTCTCTATTGGCCAAAAAAATGCAAAAATCGAAACCCTACCAACAAGGGGATCTCTAGGTGTGGTGGCTCAACTGTTCTTCCTTCACGGTCGGGGTTCTCCTCCGGCTAATCTGCACTAGAAAATGATGGAGAATATAATGGTAAAAAAATCATTCGAAATGAAATGCGGGAAGGGGGTCATTGGAAAGGATTTTGGAATTTGACCGTAGCAGTTCAATCGAGCTTTACTTGTGTTTTCTGACTCACCCATCGGCCTTTCGGCTCTGATATGGGCATAGGAGATTCGAGATTGAATTTCCAGCGGGAAGGGGGTCATGGGAGAGGGTTTTGAGTTTTGGACGGACGTTTCGGTCGAGCTTCACTTGTGATTTTTGGCTCACCCGTCGACCCTTTGGCTCCGACATAGGCATAGAGAGATGTGGGATTGAATTCCAAGTTGGAAGGGAAAAATTTTACCTATCTCGGCTTCGACAGTGGCTCTGGTGCGACAACAATGGCGTCCCTCCCCTCCCTCTTATTCTTCTCCAATCTGGTATCGACTAGGGTTTCGGGGCTGACTGAAGAAAGGTTTAAATACTTCTCTTCTCTCTGATCCTGGCTGTTCATTCGCATCAACGTGGAGCGATGAAAGCTGTTCGATCGTTTCTTATTTAGGTTGATTGCGTGGGCAAATTTGGACTGTCCATCGCGATCAATCACATCTGTCGATCGTGTATGACGAGGGAATGCATTTGGGTCATTTGTGTGCGCAGAATTGGATCTTGGATGTCGGATCTTCTGGGCACGCGGATCGCCTGCGTGGAGCTGACGTCAGCATGTTCGCCACGTGGTGCGTTCTCACTTGTCGTGGCTGTTGACTGAGCCGCCCACGTGGCCAAACTTTTTTTTTTTTACGATTTTACTCCCTATTTTCAAATTTCTTTTCAAAAACATTTAACTTATTCACAATTTCATCCATTTTCTCTATAATTATTTTCAATTTTATTTACGATCCTATTTTCTCAAAATTTTCAAAAAATTAAAATAAAAATAAGATAAGATTATATATATATATATTTTATTAATTCAAAAATTTATCTCGAACTAAATTTCCTGACCTGAATGTCACGACATTTGAATTTAATCAAAGATAAAATAAAAATATAAAGAAAATTAGGTACAAAATCAATATATCAACACTTACATATATATGTATATATATACATATACATGTCTATACGCACAAATATTCATCTAGAAACGACAATTAACACTTATCAAATTAGTAAAACCTTGAAGTGTCGTACAAGAAATATTAAATTCATTTTGGTTTTACACTTCAATTTCCTATTATATCATTTACCAATTACCATAACTTGAAATAGTGGAATTTTTTTTTTTCTCATTTCTCTAAAAAATACTGCACGATTTTTTTAATTCATAAATAATTTATAAAATACTCTGCAATAAACTCAGAAAAAACACTCTTTTGTTTTATTATTCCTTCTCTGCCAAGTTATATAAACATCTTTGCTTTGAATTAAAAACAAATATAAAAAATATAAACAAATACAAAATTAAAAAAAAAAAAACACAACTTTTTGGGCGATAATTATAATTTATAATAAAAATAATAATAATAAAAGTGAAACTTTAGGTTTTTGTCACTCAATGCTCTTTATCGAAGGCCATGCTTACCGCCACCAGTTGCAAGTACACGTGAAGATTGAAAGACACGTCCACTGAGTAAACCACCCGTCCCCAATTAAAAAAATCGAAACGATATTTTCCAATACCAACATCTCTTCCCCCCAATTTGTCGCGAATATCTCACTACTTTCTTTTGAACTCCACACGTGCCGCACGTGAGACTTACACGTCATCACTATCCCCAAAAATCATCACCCTCTCATGCTCTGCTGCTGCACCGCACGCACTCATAACTCGCGCGCATCAGCACCCACATAAATGAGAAGTAGACGGAAGTGAGCTGAGTGAACTATTCGACTACTCGACTTTCTGAGTCAAGGAAGAAGCCGGAGGTTTTATAATTACAAAAAGACCCTTCTCCTTCTCCACAGGTACGGTCACCGGCAACGGTGGGGCACCCACGTCGGCGGTCGGCCCCACCACCACTACCACCACCACCCTTCTCTGTTTCGCAACATTGAGATCTGGGTCCCGCTCGAAAATCTTCCGTTTGATTCGATACACTGACATGGGCAGTGAATACTCATACGGTGGTTAAATACACGTATATATGCATATAAACAGTATTTGTGTATAACGTACCGTATGGATCCGTTTTGATCATCTCTTGTCTCTATTCGTATCTCGTCTCTTTGCGTGTTAAGCGTTGAATTTTGTTAGATTCGTTCTCTCTTTCGCAATAATAATGCTTTGCTGTTTCTCTCTCTCGTTTTAATATATTCGATCAGGAACTAGTGTTCCCAGATCGAGACCATCAAGCTAACAGAGAGAGAGAGAGAGAGAGAGAGAGAGAGAGAGAGAGAGAGAGGTCCATTGTTAGAGAACTAGGTCTCTCTCACAAGAAAAGAATCGATCCACACACAAACAAAACCTTACCCATCTGTTCTTCTCTTTATTTTTTATTATTTATTCTAAATTCTCATTTTCATTTGTATATTTATTTCTCTCTCTCAACCCTTTCTCAGTCTCTCTGGCACTGGTTCCTTTGTTGATTGTATAATGTGGGGTGGGTGGTGACTTTGTGTTTCTTGCGGAGAGAGTGGGTTAAAAGCTCAGAGAGAGAGAGAGAGAGAGAGAGGGACACATCTCTAACACTCCAGTGAGAATTGATTTTAAGGCAAATACACCCTGTATATGACAGAATACTGAATTAAAAAAGTTATTTATGTTAATTATATAAATAAAATTAATTTAGATAAATCGTATTTATGTAATACCGTCTTTTCAGTGAAAGATTACTATTTATGGAAAAGAAGTTACTTTA